GTTTCTTAAAAAAGCTGATTTCTTAAAAAAGTATGATAGGAATCAAAGATACCGATTTCTTTGCTCACGATTATCCGCGTATCGTACATTTTTGCGCAGCACGTTTATCGAATGATCGAATTACAGTCGAATGAAACGCAATTCCAATATCAGGATAGTATTCGAGATAGATTCTTGCAACCTGTGAGAGTGAAATTTCAAATAAATCCTATTCTCCGATTTAATTTTATTAGAGAGAATTCGTTAATAAGAACGATGAGTAGCGAATAGGTTCGTTCGCTGTGTATTCTGCAAATGAATATATCTTTGTGGTTCTTCCTGGTAATTCTCCGAGCATCCAAAGGGGATTTCGCGTCCCTAAGGACCAGAGAAGGCGATTGCGAATAACAAGAACCCTTCGTCTACGCCACGAGTCTTGATCCTGTTAACGGGATCATCCGAGCGCCGCTGATAGAGCGGAAGACCGTGAGATAAAACCAAACTCCCTTGGATCTTTCTCTCTAGTTGTTGTTTCGAGGTCACTGGATCAATTCGTAGAAAGCTGTGTTTTCCCTTTTAGAAAGCTGTCCGTTTCAGACTTTTCTCGAAACAAAAATGGCGTCGAGTATCGGCGTTAAATATCACAGTAGAACTCTCTCTTTATAGGGATCCCATTTATTTGAATTATCTTCTTACTAGATGAATTCACTATTTTAACCTGAACTCGTATTATATGAGGATCACTAATGGAGAGAAAAATCAATGGGTTCCTATTATATAAATTTCAATTACAATAAGTAGTTTCGCGTCTTCGCAATTATTGAATTTAAATGATTAATTTTTTTAAACAATAGATAGCAGTAGTAAATAGTGCAACAATTAAGTATTTGATTGATATATTTATATATCCTTTATTGAACAATAAATAAATAGTACAAAATTCACTACAATATAAATGGAAATTTTAAATTATATATTTATAATTCACTCGTAAACTATTTGTCTCACAGCAAGTTTATATAAATAGAGTTTCCATTGTAATCGAAAAAGGCTGTCGCAAAGGAACATACTTTACATATTTCGTATTAATTATGAGCCTATATAAAAATACAGTTAAATGTTAGAATCAAACATTTAGTATTGTCGTCTTCGTACTTATTGAGAAAGAGAATTTTATTATGAAGAAGGTTTTGAAGAAGATTTTGAAAAATGTACAATGGCAAGCGGTAGTGACATACACGTTTGAATATCCGTAGAAAGGTTTGCAAATCAGATTTCTCGACGTTAGGCCGATTCGTAATGCTCGGTCACCATATTTACATATGCATATCATTTGTCGTATCGCAGGGGAGAAAGCTCTGTGCTGGTAATATCCCAGAGGACTCTCCATATATCCAAATCGCATTACCGCGCTGCCTATTTCGTGCTAAGGTACGTCATGAACGATTTGATATGCGTGCGGTATAACCGAGTTAACGATCCGCCATGACAGATGGTGATCCGAACGATTTCCCTGCTCTCCGTTTCCATCGACGAGTTTCCGGTTCTCTTATCGATCATGAGCAACTCGACGTTTTGACTTCTTTTCGAAAGTCAATTAATCGTTTCATAGATAATTTCAATAGCGATGTTTCTCAAAATATATTATACTCGTAAATTAGCCAGTATCGAGATTATATTTCGAAAATTTGTTTGCGAAGGCTCCAAGGTAAAGGTTATAGGAAATACCACATTGTTGATTATACATTTTCATAAATTACTATATAAACTTTTTATTGCAATGAATTTTAGTAACATGCTCTGAAGCTGGACGAATGGCATATAAATAATTAAATGAAGCACAAATTGCTTTTCCTCTCATAATCATTTCATTCCTGACTCTAATTCTGACGGAAACCAAAATTTTCATAATTCTCCGTTATTCTTCGAAATAAAATTCCATAACAGTTCCACTTTTAACTTTAATTCTAATGGAAGTTTGAATTTCTAAAGAAAGTACTTCTTTAAAGAGTTAGAAAAGTTACTATCACTAGGTAGATAATATACTATCTTTTGCAACCATTATCTTCCTTATATATACTCTTTATCGTCTAAGAAAAGATCTTCCTTGTATATATATAATATATATACTATGTATAGAATATATATACAGAGTACTATACACACACACACACACTCTATATTGCGTAAAAAATAGTCAAACAATTTCGAAAATTGTCGACTCTCGAACGATATTTTTTGTTTTCC